CATTTTTCCCGTTTTCTGTTTTCTTGAGTATTTTTTTTGGTGTTTTCGAAAACACGTTTTCACCGTTTTGAAAAATCGAAAACAGAAAACGACTTGAAAACAGTAAAGAGAACAGGGCCTTAATTCTTAGAGCCTGTTTGCTCCAGACTTTTTCTCCATTTTCAGCAGAATTCTAGCCGTTGGAGCACAAATAACAATGGAACGTGTGAGTTGGTGGGTCCCATTCAACGGCTACAAACCTGCTAAAAATCTGTTGAAAATCTGGAGCAAACAGGCTCTTAATCTATCTTCTACTGTCAAATTTAAAACCATAATAAATGACAAGAGAAATTCAAAAGTCTTAAAGTAATACCAGTAAGTGAATAAAATACTAATGGAGCATGAAATAAGAATAAAACCAATTAATATATATTTGATTAGATTTGTGAAAGGAGAAAATGCTTGAGCGCCTTTTTATTACTATAATTTTATTTAATGCCATATCCTAATTTTGAATTTATTGGTATATTTATTTTCTGTTTAAAATAATTTTTTCTCTAAATTTGCAGTCCTACCAATGACCAACCAGCTGATCCATGAACCTAGTGACTCAGTGCTCTGGCTAGGCATGATGACTATGCTTAGAACCTTTATTCCTATTAGTCTGCTGTTGTGCTCTATCAATCTAAAAATTGACAGTAGTTTAGTATCTCTCACTGTCCCTAATTTTTCCTGGTTACAAGTCTTGCAACTTCTCCTTGTCACTCTTAAGACACATACATCTCATTTTATCATTCAAGTCTGGAGAATAGACATCCACTTCTGTTGATCAAAAGGGCAGGGCTTAGTTCTGTGCTACGCTTTTGCATGATGCTGGCATGTCTCCGCCTTTAACGTGATTATTATACTGTAACAGCATTTGTAGTAAATTAGTCTTCTAGCTGTTGGTTTGAGACTAGCTGCTTTTCTGGGCGTATATTCAGCACATACCATGCACAACGTGGTTTGCTGCCTTTGGGTAGGCTTTGGAAGTACATAAATACTTGTCTGCATGAGCTGGTCTGCACTTGCATGAGTGTGAGAGGGAGATTGGAGCTTTAATGTCTTATTGTAAGAGGGAGATTGGAGCGTTGATGTCTTATTGGGTATTCATAATGTGATAATTCCAGTTTTTTGCCTGTATATTTGGTAGATACTGACGAAATAGGTTTGATTTCAAGGAGTAACTGAAAACAAGAACTGGTGATGAATCTTCGGAGTTCTAGTTGTGTAGATATTAGGACATGGAACTTATTATGCTTGGTTTTTGCTTTAAAATTGAATACAAGGATTTTGACATTGTACTTTATAG